AAGAAGAAGAAGAAGAAGAAGAAGAAGAAGAAGAAGAAGAAGAAGAAGAAGAAGAAGAAGAAAAAAAAAAATACAGTGAAGTAGAGAGTGATGGAAAGGATGGAAAACAAAGTAGGAGATATAAGAAACATACCCAAGATCCATAAAAGACTCCAGTGCCTATATACTGTACGAAGGCTCAAAGTTAAGGGAACAAACAGGGTGAAAACAAGAACAACAAAGATGATCAAAGGCCTGGAGACTAAACCATATGAATGAAGAACGGCTGCAGGATTTGGGTCTGGCCAGTCCAGAGAAAAGAAAGATTAGATGTGATATGACAGCAGCCTTCCAGTATTTGAGGGGCTGCCACAAAGAAGAGGAAGGGGTCAACCTATTCTCCAAAGCATCAGAGGGCAGGACAAGAAAGAATGGATGGAAACTAATCAAGGAGAGAATCAACCTGGAATGAAGGAGACACTTCATTCCAGGTGCGACAGTTAACCAGGGGAACGGCTTGCTACAAGAACTTGTGGGTGCTTCATCACTGGAGGCTTTTAAGAAGAGACCAGACACCCACTTGTCTGAATGGTATAGGGTCTCACTGCCGTTGTTAAGTTAGTAACATGGTTGTTAAGTGAATCTGGCCTCCCCGTTGACTTTGATTGTCAGACAGTCACAAAAGGTGATGGACCCCAGGACACTGCAACCATCGTAAATACCAGTCAGCTACCAAGCGCCTGAATTTTGATCATGTGATCATGGGGATGCGGCAGCAGTCATAATGTGAAAACTGTCATAAGTCACTTTTTTCAGTGCCATTGTAACTTTGAACAGTCACTAAATCAACTGTTGTAAATTGAGGACTACCTGTAATATTCTGTTGCTCTGCATGTACACAGAGAGCTTCTGCACCAGAGACAAATTCCTTGTGTGTCTACTCTACTCTATAAAAAGAGGTTGAGACTCTGGAAAGAGTACAGAGAAGAGCAACCAGGAGGATGAGGGGGCTGGAGGCTCAAACATACAATGAAGGGTTGCAGGAACCGGGCATGGCTGATGTAGTGAAGAGAAGGACCAGGGGAGACATGAGAGCATCTTCCAGTGTTTGAGGGGCTGCCACAGAGAGGAGGGGGGTCAAGCTATTCTCCAAAGCCCCCGAAGGCCAGAGAAGGAACAATGGATGGAAACTGAACAAGGAGAGATTCAACCTGGAAATAAGGAGAAATTTCCTGACAGTGAGAACAATCAACCAATGAAACAGAAGTTGCCTTCGAAAGTTGTTGGAGCTTCATCCCTGGAGGCTTTCAAGAAGACACTGGACTGCCATGTGTCAGAAATGGTGTAGTGGGGTCTCCTGCTTGGGGGAGGGGGGCTTGGACTAGATGACCTACAAGGTCCCTTCCAACTCTGTTAAATCTGTGAAATCTCTGTGAAATCTCCATGATTTTCTGCTCTTGCAAACTCTCCCAGTGTCCCATATGCTTTGTACGTTGTTCTCTAAAACTTTTGCCTCTCTCTCTGTTTCAGGATCTGAACTCCAAATAACCGTAACTTCCTTTCCTCTCGGCTCATTCGCTCTTCTTTCGTGCGTTGTGACTTCATCCTTTTCCTGCTGCCTGTGTGACCAAGCTGGAGATCCAGATGGCCCCCTTGGCCTTTGCAAGGCAACACAAACTTGGCTGTCCCTCCCAGGCATGTGGGCTGGGAGGCAGGGCGCAAGTTCTGCCAGCTGATGTTGTTTGCATTGTAAGTTGGAATTTGTTTTTGGCGACCTCAGATGGTTATTATTTGGACTGTTGCTCTAATTGTTGGTTTTAACATGTACACTGCTCAGAGTCCCTGCTGTGACATGGGTGGCCAGGTCGATTGTGCAAACAAACAAAGCAAAATCACCAGGATGGATTTCATTTGTATACAGAATCTACTATCAAGGCCCTAATAAAGGCTTCTTTAAGGAGGTCATAATGCACAAGAATTTGACTGAGAGAATGTCCCTCTTGTCTTATATCATCGCCTGTTAAAACTGCTTCCAAAGCCAAGAGATTGGCCAAACTTCTCCTCTTGCACAGTTACTTCAACTCATCATAAGGCCATTAATGATAAACAGTCTCTCTCTCTCTCTCTCTCTCTCTCTCTCTCTCTCTCTCTCTCTCTCTCTCTCTCTCTTTTTTTTTCTCTCATTCTCTTTCTCTGTCTCTTTGTCTCTCTCTCT